CAAAAAAAAAAAAAAAAAAAGATATAAAGTCAGTATCTACATTCTTTTTAATGCATTTCTCTGACTATGAAATCAGTATCTTTTTCATATAGTTATTTTAATTTCCTCTGTTATGAGGTGCATGTTACATGTTTGTATGCTTGAGTTACATGGATTTTTTTCAACTGTATATTGTCAGATTTTTAATTTAGTTTTTTTAGCTGCTTTTAAAATATATTCTCAATACTAATCCTTCAGCTGTATTTCATAAGATATTGCTTATCCTTGAATTTTGTGCAGTATTTGAATTTTATTTTTGTTTTCCATGTATTGTCTAAAAAAGTATTCTTTACTCTGAGTTCAAAAAGGTATTCTCCTATATTCTAAAAATTTTGATATTTTATATTTTCACTGTTTAAATTTTTTTCTGGAGAGTGTGTGTGTGTGTGTGTGTTTGTATACATGTGTGCATGTGTATATTTTGTAAACTTGGGATTTAATTTTTAGTTTTTCCCTGTACAGAAACCAGGTTTATCTTTGATTTATAATATGGTTTCTGTCTTTTATTACATTTTCATATCTGTGTGGGCCAGTTTCTGGTCCCTTACATCTGCTTTATTTATCTATGTGGCTTTTGTTCCCTTATTACACCACCATTTTAATAACTATTTTGTAAAATGTCACCAACATCAGATAGGACAGCTTTTCCCTCGTTCCTTTTTTTCATTATCAAATTAGACTTATTGATTCTTTTGGGGGGTTTTAGAACCATATTGTCAAGTTTCATGAAAAATCTGTTGTAATTTTGTTTTAAATTAGATCAGAGTACATCTCCACATTAATTCAGGTCATCTTTTGTATCCCTTAATAAAATTTTGTATTGTTTTTTCATTGCACGTTTGTGTTAGCTTTATTTCTATGTAGGTTATAGTTTCTGTTGCTTCTGTAAATTAGATTTTTTCCCTTCTAAGAAACTTTTGCAGTTTTATAGAAAATTAGAAACATTATCAATTTTTATAGATAAGGTATCTAGTCTTATTAAACTATTACTAATTTTATTTTATTTTATATTTTTTGAGACACGGTCTCACTGTGTCACCCAAGCTGGAGTTCAGTGGCATGATCATGGCTCACAGCAGCCTGGACCTCCTGGGCTCAAGTGGTTCTCCTGCCTCAGCCTCCCAAGGAGCTGGGACTATAGGCCTGTGTCACCACACTGGCTAATTTTTTAAAAATATTTAGTAGAAAGGAGGTCCGGCCCTGTTACATGGACTGATCTTGAACTCCTGTGCTCAAGCAGTCTTTCTTTCCCAGCCTCCCAAAGTGTCAGGATTGCAGGTGTGAGCCACTGTGTCTGGCATAACTGTTACTAATTTTAATAGTTCTATATTAATTTCCTTGAGTATTCTAAGTAGATCACTTTATTATCTGCTAATAATGAAAATTTATGGATTTATGGACTGCTGCAAGGAAAAAAACAAGTGTGTTAATGAAAAATGCCTGACAATCCTTTGGTGAAACAATGTTTCCTGTAAGTTTCTCAGGAAACCAGTAAACTGGTTAATTATGGTAGTCTTATGAGTCTGAATATTTAGTTTAGTTTAAAAAAGACCTGTTGTCATTAGAAGTACAGAAGTGGAATCGGTAGATAGCTGGATTTAACTAATGTTCAGTTATAGTAAATGGAACAGGTGAATTTGCAGGTGGTTTTAGGAAATGATTATCATATAGGGAAGATGCATGGAATCTAGGCTGGGAAGTAAAGAAAAACATGAGGGTGGTAATGAATGACAAAAAAATAGTGCCTGTGTATTCTATATAGGAGGTTTTAGGTCAAACACTTTTTAGAGTGGTGGAATTAAAAAAAAAAGTGAGGTGGAAGGATAGGTGGTCAGAGGTGATATTTGAATTTGAGATTTCAGAGGTGGTTCACTTATTAGTAATGACAAATTAAGGGTATAATTTTGTCGTTCAGTGGGTAAATTAGGGTGAAGGAAAAGATTGTTAGAAATGAAGGCATAGAACTCTCCCTATGGATACTGAAGTTGCTAAGAATGATCATAGCATAACGGCTAGGAAAAGAAGATTTTGATCCAGGTGCTAAAATTTTTGGTAAATGAAAGGAGGATCTAAGACTTCAGAAAATACTAGGCACTAGGAAAGGTAGGTGATGCTATATTATGGTGACATGAATTATTAGAAAGATGGGGGTTAAAACAGGTTTGACACTGGTGAAAGAGAGCAAAGGCAATGGCTCTTCTACTTCTAGGGCCCTGAGTTGTAAAAGAAAAATTGCCTCTGTGTTAGGGGGCTATAGGAAAAACGATGTGTCATAAAGCAACCAGATTTTAGTTAAGTCAGGAAGGTGAAGTGAATATTCAGAGAAAGACTATGTGTATAGAGAAGCTGACTGATGACAGACAGTATTTCTGGAGGGCGTCTTAGTAGGTATTAGGCGAATAGGAGGGGTAATAGCTTGGGTCAGATTAGTGAATGTCCTTCGGATATTTAAAGATGGTTAAGACACTGCCACTGAATAATTAGATTAGATTCATTGATAGAACAGTGTTGGTGGTTATGTCAGCCCTAGATGACTCCACTGGATGACGATGGCTAACCTCTGAGGCTTAGTTTAGATTCTGGTGGTAAAAAATGTATATAGGGATATGAGGTGTAATGTGGTCTAATGTTGAGGAAGGTTGGTAGTCACTTCGGGCTAGAAGGGATAGAGGGATTGGCTTGCAGTAGAGTGATGATCAATGAGATAAGCAAAGGCCTCCTTGGCCTTGACTCTGGCTGTAAGGCATTTTATGGTACAGAACTGGCTGAAGGACTTGTCTTATATCCTCCAGCATTATTTATGGATAATATATACCATTATTTCTTAGTGCTGCTTTTAGAAATATTTTCTGAGAACTTCTTAATACTTCATTTTTTCTTGAGCTTTGCCATTGAATTTTTTTTTTTTTTTTTTAGTATTTTCATTTTTTTTCCTCTATTTTTGTTTCATAACTTTCTATCTTGGTTTCAAAGATTCAGTTTCCTCCTTTATTTTAGCATTTCAAACATACTTATTTTACATTTTATTATGGATTACTGTAGCTCCATTTCTTCACAGGTAACTTTTTCAGTTTGCAGCTTTCTGGGCTGTTTTTCTTGGCATTGCAGCTTCCAATGTGCTTAGCAAATCAAATTTAATATTCATCTGTTATGGGAGTTTTTTATGATCCCTTCCCTGTGATGCAATTTGATGGTTCCTTCACCCTGGCTGTTCACAGTCTCTGCTTTGAGACCAGGCCTTACATATATGGATTGCTCCGTGCTTTTACTCTGTGTATATGCACAATTCTGGGTCCTTCTTCTATGTCCCTTATCCACTGCTTCTTGGTCTCATGGAGGTACCACTTCTGTTCTTGGCAAGCTAGACCGGTTGCCTGCAGTGCTGTGTGATGGGTGCAGCTCTTTAATCTGCTGCTCCTGGGTCGACAGTATGACCCTAATTACCAGCTTTATGGTGGATATTTAAGTTCAGCACCTTACCACTCAGTTTGGTGGGTGCTGAGAATTTAGCCCTAAAATCCCTTCTCCAGGCTGGCCCCTACTTACCACTTTGGTTTTCCTTTCTGTTTCTCTTGTTTTGAGTACAGATCTGAATATTTATTATTACTATTTCCTTTTTTTTGGAGTGCTGTGAGAGGTTTGTGTTGTGCTCAGCCTTCTGTCTTGACCCTAGAAGTAGAAAAATAGCTTTTAAATCCACTACAAAGAGCTTTTACTTATATAAGGTTAGTAGGTGGTAGACAGTCTTTGACATGGGGTGAAAAATCTAAAAGTTATAAAAATAAAACCAACTTGGCTGGGCATGGCGGCTCATGCATATAATCCCAGCACTTTGGGATGCTGAGACGGGAGGATCACTTGAGTCCAGGAATTTGAGACCAGCCTGGACAACATAGTGAGACCCCATCTCTAAAAAAAAAAACAGTTAGCTGGGCATGATGGTGCATGCCTTTAGCCCCAGATACTTGGGACGCTGAGATGGGAGGATTGCTGTAGTGAGCAGTGATGGTGCTACTGCACTCCAGCCTGGGCAACAGAGTGAGACCCTATCTCAATAAAAGAAAAGAAAAAATTAAAATTAAAAAATAAAACAACTTAATTATGTCTCTAATACAGACTGTGATCAACCACTCTATGATTGTCCAATGTGTGGGCTCATATGTACAAATTACCATATTCTTCAGGAACATGTTGACTTGCATTTAGAAGAAAACAGCTTTCAACAAGGTATGTTTATATGTTTAAAGATAAAAATGTAATTTCTACTTTCTAGGACACATATCTAATTTTTAGATTTGTGATATGGAAAAATATTTAAAAATACATCTTTTCCTTTAAACATGTTTTATTTACAAGTTGAGGCCATTCTTTAGCAGCTAGAAGTCACCGAATATTGTATTTGGTAAGCAAAAATTGCTAAACTAGAAAACTGCTATATGGCACATAAAGTTTTACAAATGAATGTGAACTGTATAACCAAAACATCTTTAAATGCATCTTGAGCTGCTTGCCCAGCTTCTAAATGACTTACTGGTTTTATTGTGATTCTATAAAAGTTTTCTTTTCTCCCCTATGTTTTTTAATAGTGGCATTGAGTAATCATTATGGTGTCTTAGAAGTGGAAAAATCCTATATGAGTTTTAGAAGTCTACTGAATGAAAGTAAAAAGTAGATTCCAAGAGAAACCAATTGTGTTTTACCCTATTTCAGTTTTTTAAGTGTACCTTAAGATAGCTTCTATTAAGGCAGAGGGCTTTAGTGTCCAATATCAATGATCCTAGTACCAGTATCAGTGTTCATGGACAATGTTACTGCTCATTCGGCCTAACCCAAAGATAAGATTATTGGAGCAAAGATGGAAAAGTTCCCTGCTCTGGTGGTTTCTGAATGCCTGGTAATTCTTATTTTTAATTATGATAGGCTTTGTATGGGCACATGCATTATTCTGTAAACCTACAGTGGGTAAGAGAAAAAGATAATGATCTAAGTAAATCACTGCCTCAGGGGACACTAAACATTGATTATGACTTGTATATCCCCAAGAATAGAAGGGTGACCAAATAGGAAGATGTAGCAGCAGTTGAGAACTTTGAAAGGAAAGGAAGAATATTCAGTGATAAAATTAAACCATCAGGTCATGTGGTTAAGGAGACAAGATAGTGATCAGAAGTCACTGACACATGGATCTGGGGGACCCTGAGTAGAGAAGATGCAGGCTGAAATGTTGCAAAGTTTTACCATTTTGGGGCCAAACTGTGATTAACTTATTATCTAACACCTGTACTTTGTAAATATGTATTTTTTATGTTCTTTATTAGTTTCTTTTTCTCCCCTACCATTTCTTTGAAACATCAATCTGCCTTAGTTATGTTAACGAGCATCAATGAAGGGTCTTACTTCACTTTTTAAAATTCTGGTTTCCTCAGTAAATAATACTGCCTACTAAATAAGATTGTTCTAAAGAGGAAATGATATAATTAATGAAAAGTGCTTATCACAGCTTAAACACTCAGTGAGGCCAGGCGTAGTGGCTCTCGCCTGAAATCTCAGCACTTTGGGAGGCTGAGGCGGGTGGAACACCCGAGGTCAGGAGTTCGAGACCAGCCTGACCAACATGGCGAAACCCTGTCTCTACTAAAAATAAAAAATTAGCTGGGCGTGGTGGTGGGTACCTGTAATCCCAGCTACTTGGGAGGCTGAGGCAGGAAAATCACTTGAAAAAGGCAGGTGGAGGTGGCAGTGAGCCAAGATTGCACCGTTGCACTCCAGCCTGGGCAATAAAAGCGAAACTCTGTCTCAAAAAAAAAAAAAAGCACTCAGTGAATATTAGTTGTCATTTACATGGAGGTTATTTCTTACCAAACCAGTTCTAAGTTTTAATAGATTTGTACTCAGTTACATGGCATCTCAGTAATAAATAAATGGCAAATAATAGCATTTACTCTCTTTTAAAAACATATATTAGATAAGAAATAATATTTGATTGCAACAGTTATTTTATTCTGAACATTAAAAATACCTAGCAGGCATGGATAGAGTCCAGTGTTCTGGTGATCTGCAGTTGGCTCAGCAACTTCAGCAAGAAGAAGACAGAAAGAGATCTGAAGAATCAAGACAAGAAATAGAAGAATTTCAGAAGCTACAGGTATAAAGATTAATAACAATTTTAATGTTTTGATTTGGTAGAGTTATTTTTCAAATATCCTTTCAGGACTCCAGTGTATTATTTTGGTCTTTGTTAAAAAAAATTTATTTATATATGTTCATAACAGCCACCATTTATAAATACTCATTCTGGTCAGGCACAGGGGTAATCATATCACATGTAGTATCTCAAAATCTTTACAACAAATTCATGAAGTTATTTAGACCCCCTCCCCCTCCTGTTTTTTTCAGATGAAAAAATAGAGATGGAGAATGGCTAAGTAACTTGATCAGTGTCAGGCAGCTAATTAATAATAAAGCTTGCATTTAAACCTGTGTAACTTGATGGGACAAATTAGGAAACTGAGACTCAGAATTTAAGTGTTTGTATAGATACTTGGGAGTGAAATTTATACTTAGAATTAATGTCACCTGAGTCTTAAATTATTTTACAGATTGCAATTTCAGGCATTTAGAAAGAACCATTTTAAAGGGAAATGCTTTTTTTGTTTTTAATCATATTTGAGGTTTCATTTATCTAAGGTGAGTGGTATTACCTGTTGGACTAAACTGGCAGCATCTGTTATATTTTTAATGCATTTAAATTTTTAATGTCTGTTTCTCCTTTATCAATCCTAATTTGTAGACCATAGTGTTATTTGTGCTAATAATGCTCATAGATTTTGTTGTTGTTGTTTGTTTGTTTGGCTTTTTGAGACGAAGTTTCGCTCTTGTTGCCCAGGCTGGAATGCAATGGCACAATCTCCGCTCACTGCAACCTCCACCTCCTGGGTTCAAGTGATTCTGCTGCCTCAGCCTCCCGAGTAGCTGGGATTACAGGTGTGCATCACCACGCCCAGCTCATTTTTTTGTATTATGTAGAGACAGAGTTTTACCATGTTGGCCAGGCTGGTCTCAAACTACTGACCTCAGGTGATCTTCCCAGCTTGGCCTCACAAAGTACTGGGATAACAAGCATGAGCCACCGCGCCCAGCCTATTGCTCATAGTTTTTAAGTGTTCTTTTTCTAGTCATAATAGGTTAGTGCATAAACAAAAAAGGCTTGCAATTGAATAGGTTTGAAAGTGTTCGGGTAAACAGGTTGGTATATTTTGGTACTTCTCAAAGCTTTTAATATACTAATGTGCATGTACCTATCACAATTTTCCCAGACTTATATGACCTTTGTCTTTTTTTCTCAGATATCTCACATGGGTATTGTTGCTTAGAATGTGCTTTAGAAGACCTAATGTAGGATTTTTTTTTCTCACTGGTGACACACAATAATTGCAAAATAGGAAAGAAAATTGGCTTTTCTTAAGACTTTTATGCCTTTTGTAATTTAGAAGGTGATCAATATAAAAAGTTTCCAATATTTAAGGAGGCTATGTAACTTTGGAGTTTCGCTCTTGTTACCCAGGCTGGAGTGCAATGGCGCGATCTCGGCTCACCGCAACCTCCGCCTCCTGGGTTCAGGCAATTCTCCTGCCTCAGCTTCCTGAGTAGCTGGGATTACAGGCACGCACCACCATGCCCAGCTAATGTTTTGTATTTTTAGTAGAGACGGGGTTTCACTGTGTTGACCAGGATGGTCTCGATCTCTTGACCTCGTGATCCACCCGCCTCGGCCTCCCAAAGTGCTGGGATTACAGGCCTGAGCCACCACGCCGGGCCAAAAACTTTTTCATAGAAAACTTTTCCATGGAAAACTTTTCCGTAGTTTTATACATACTATTTGAGATTCTCAGTCCAGTGTACAAAACATAGTTCATTTACTTTGTGAAATGACTGACTAAATGAATTATGGATTAAGTAGGGCTTTGAGGACTAGCCTGGGAACCAAATAATAAGGACTGATAAATTTCCTTGAAAAAATCAGCAATGCATTCAGAACTCTTCTGCCTTTCCCAATACCTGTGGTAAAAAGATGGGATCCTCTGCTTTCCCTACTACAGAAAAGCAAGTATCTTGCTCCAGAGATTGATTATAAAGAAGTGGTTGCTTATTAAGTCAATAATTGTGTGTGTGTGTGTGTATGTTAGTTTTTATAAAAATCTTTTAAGTTAACTTGTATAAAGTCTATAAACCAGAATGTTTCAACATGTTTCCAAATAAATAAAATTATAGTAAATGTCCATCCTCATTGAGGTACAGGGATGTAAAAATTAAGTCATTTGTTTTTATGTTCAATAGAGACAATATGGTTTAGATAATTCTGGAGGATACAAACGACAACAACTACAAAATATGGAGATAGAAGTAAATAGAGGAAGAATGCCTCCATCTGAATTTCATATAAGAAAAGCTGATATGATGGAATCATTAGCTATTGGTATTGATGATGGAAAAACAAAAACTTCTGGTAAGTACGTAAACATCAGTCATAGTTTTAATACTGCTTATACCACTGAAGTAATAATCAGAATCATGTTAATTTTGCTTAATTTTCATAATCCATGGTTTATGTAGTTATAGGTGAGACTATGTGCAAGTTAAAAAAAAGTATTTTTTTAAAACTTGTGAATTATTTTTACAGTAAGTAATTCACTTAAAAATTTACTTTTATATTGTGTTACTTGACATTTAAAAAGCTGTGTTCTGCAACCAAAGGATTGAGCTAAGTGTTTGGCACATAGTATGCTGCTACTGCAGGTACGGAGAAGTTACCACGATTACTTCTACACAGGTACCTGGCATGAAATGAAGAAAAGCCTATTCCAGTATTACTAAAGTTTCAAGAGACAATTTATAATTCTTTATATGTCAGCTTCTCAGATTCAGAATTTAGGAAGCAGGTTAAGAATAGTCACAACGTTTCGTTTCCAAATGATGGAGATAGGTTCTGTCAAAAAGAAATGCCTTTAAGTGAATTATATATAAATGTGGACACATCAATAAAATATATCTCTATGAAAAAAAAAAAAGCTGTGTGCTAGACAGTGCTGTCTAAGAGAAATATAATGTGAGCCACATATATAATTTAAAATTTTCTGGATCCACATTAACAAAAGTGAAAAGGAACAGATGAAGCTAATTTTAATAGTTTAAACCAATGTATCCGTGATATTATTGCAACATGTAATCAATATTAAAAACTATTACTGAGACATTTTACATTCTTTGTACATTCTTCGAAATCCATTGTGTATTTTCTACTTTACAGCACAACTCAATTGGGCAGGCACATTTCAGATTCTCAGTGGCTACAAACAGCAAGTGGCTGTTATATTGTTTGTGCATTTTTAGACACTAAGAGCTCCATATACATTGCATCATTTAACTCAGACATCCTCTCCTGTACTGTTAAATATTCCAAATGAGGTCACTGTTGCTTAAAGAGGTTATAGTGACTTTGCCAAAGCAAGATTACGCAGCTGGTTGTTCCTAATCAAATCTGCCTTGCCCCACAATACGACTTTTTTTTGACAAGTATTAAATTTTTTTCTTTATGTATTAGTATATTAACAGACTTTTTATGGAAATAGCTTTGTTACTGCCACCCAGATTTTTTGAATCTTAATGTTTTACCATATTTACTTAAAGGTTTTTAAAGCCTCAACACCTTTCATAGGGATTCAAAGGCTTTTATGTACCCCTTCTCTGATTCTAATTCATTCTAACCACAAGGGAACTATTATCCCGAGTTTGGTATTTATCAATCTCATACATGTTTTAGTACTCTTACCGTGTATGTATATTTCCATAAAGTGTTTTGCATGTGTTTATATATAAATGGGATACAACATGTATGCTGTAAATTGTTTGCTCAAATATATTGGTTCTTGCAGTTCTACTTCATTCATTTTAGCTGCTGTATAGTATTTCCTTGTATGACTTATAGATAACTTGTTTTCATATTGATAAACATTTAGATTGTTTCCAATTTTCTACTCTTATAATTTATGAACATGTGTCCTTCAGGAGTTTCTCTAGTATTACATCCAGAACTGGAATGCTAAGTTAAAGGACAGGCAGATCTTCAACTTTGTTAAGGTTATTGTAGAATTGTTTTCCAAAGTACTTGTAATCTACCTTCACACCAGTATATTTCACACATTGTATGGTAACACTTTTAAATTTTTGCTATTCAATGGGTTCTAAGATGATACATGTTTTAATTTGCGTTTCCTGGATTATTCCTGAGTTACTTTCCTCTTGAATGAGGAAAAATGTTCTTTTTTTTTCTATTGTTTATTGGGTTGTTTGTCTTTCTTACTGATTTGTGGGAGTCCAGTAAGTATTCAGGATACTATTCCTTCGTTAGTTATATGAGATGCAAATATCTTTTTCAGGCCTATGGTTTGTATTTAAATTTTATATATAGTGCCTTTAATTAGACAGAAGTTTTGAATTTGAATATAATCAAAGTTCTTAATGTTTCTATTTATTATTTGTGTCTTAAGTAACTCCTCCATCTTTAAGATCACAAATATATGCCTTTATGTTTTCTTCAAATATTTATATTTTGCATTATTTTTAATCTACCCAGAATTTATTTGTATGTGTATGTTGCTGGAGGGAGGAGAGAGAAGACAGGAATCTGATTATTTTCTCCTTATTTATAACAGTCCTTATAATAAGTACTTATTATGCTTATTTCACTACCATTTATTGAATCTATATTTTCTCCACCTATTGTAATACTATATATTATAGATTTTCATATATCCATGAGCCTGTTTCAAAAGGCTGCCTTTATACTTCTTCAGGGGTCTCCATGTAAAAAAGTTCTTGCTATGGCATAGGGCATCCTCCAGATATGTGATATGATTCGTTAGGATACAGAAAGAAAATATTAAATATATCTGTAAAAAAGTACACTGCCCTGTAATATAGAAGTGATTGATTTAGTGGCAGATATTTTAATTTTTTTTAATTATGCAAGTGTTAATTGAAGCAGCTGTCATTTAAAGAGTCTTCACTTATATACTGCAATCCTGTTGTAATTTTAACAATAGAATATAATCTAACTGAGGATAAATTTACTGTGGAAAATATCTAAAGAGATTTAGGTGCTAAGGAATAAAAAGTACTTTGTTATAAGGAAATTTCCCCCTACAGCAGTTGTATGATGTTGCTAAGACAGTGTGGCATTATTCCATCTGATATGTAATATATATACTAAAATGTACTAGAATGTTTATTACTTTCCTATTTTTTCTGCCCCTCACCCCACCTCATTCTTAAAGGACTGTTGCAAATCTTGATCTCTTCATTCAAATCTATGATATTGAAGTCTACATTTAGCTTTCTTTCTCTGATTTCCTAGGGTACCCGTTCATTCCATGCTATAACATTTTGTACTCAGTTATATACTATTTTAATTTTTTTTTTTCTTGAATTCAAATCTTTATAAGTTCTTTGAAAGTGGTTATAGTGATCAGTATTTCTCCTTTTCATGGTACAGGGCACAGCTATAACTATTGGTTCATTTAATTGTTTTTATTTATTGATCTTTTATTGTCCTTCTTAAAGACAAAAATTCATTTTCTTATGGGAAACCCTTCATCCAAGCAAAAGGAATTTATTGTCTTTAGTGCCACTGCTATGAGAAAGTATGGGGCATATAAATAAGATCTCCCTATCTATAAGCTTCACAGAGTCTGTAGAGTATAATAAATATACACAAAGAACTGTAGTATTCTACTGTGACTGAATGTGGCTAGTACCTTGGGGACACAAAAAATAAATGCAGTGAGTGTTCAGAAAAAGGGTTAGAATCAGAAAAAGAGTCTATGAAGACAGTAGCATGTGAAGAATCTATAATTTTAAAATGTAAGGAGAGTATACTAAAAGCAGGAAAGGGATGGACTCAGATGTCCCTTGTCCTGACACCTTGTTTTTCCATATTATAGCACTTGTTATAGTTGGGGTCCATGACATTTCAAAGGATAGTACCATATTTATCTTTTTGTCCTTAGCACTTAGGTAGTGCCAGGTGTATAAAAAGTACTTAGTTGGCCAGGTACAGTGGCTCACGCCTGTAATCCCAACACTTGGGAGGCCGAGGTGGGCAGATCACGAGGTCAGGAGTTCAAGACCAACCTGGCCAATATGGTGAAACCCTGTCTGTAGTAAAAATACAAAAACTAGCTGGGGATGGTAGTGTGTGCCTGTAGTTCCAGCTACTTGGGAGGCTGAGGCAGGAGAATCGCTTGAACCTGGAGGTGGAGGTTGCAGCGAGCCAAGGTTGCGCTACTGCACTCCAGCCTGGGTGACAGACTGAGACTCTTGTTGCGAAAAAGAAAAAAAAAAGTACTTAGCAAATACAGAATTTGAAAATTTAATTTAAAAAGCTGAATTTAAACATCATGGGTCAAATTATGTTTAACGTGTTCAGTTAGGCCACAGCCAAAATTATGGCAAGAAGAGTGGTGTGAAATAAAGGTAAGTCAGTGGATAGCTTTCTGTGGACTTCATATCACATAGATTAGAACTATCCTAATAAGTTTTATAAGGCTATTAATAAGATTCCTAAACCAATTGTTCTGCCCTTAAGGAAAGTATGGTTTTCTTCCTTCTGTTGTCTCAAACAAATTCATCTCCCCAAATGGCAAAGTGGAATATGCTACTAAAGGGTTGAAATTTAGGGTATTGGAGTTTGGGATATGTTTACTATTCATGAATAGTAAATCAAGAGTTTTAAATGAAAATGTGTATTCTCATGCTTTGATAATTGATTCTACAAAATAAAATTTTAAATTACAAAAAAATTAAAACTATAGGTAATAGGGAGCTATTAATATTTTTTGATTGAGAGCAAATTGATTAAGACTGAGTAGTCTCTAGCATTCTATACAATAAAATGGACAGACAAGAAGAACAGTCATTCAACAGTTGTACTTTATGTGCTGGTCCCTGCAGATGCAGAAGTGAAAGATGCAAAAAATTTCAATTAACTCTAATAAATAACATGCTAGTGTTAGGAAACTTGGATTGTAGTAACAAGCAAGGACACAAACTAAGGTTATAGCAATAAGAAGGTGAAGAAGATGGAATTGACAGGATTTAGATATGGAGGGTGAAGGAGAGGTTGATATTAAAAATGTATGAGATAGCCATATAAAGTTGATAACAACTGCTTCTAAATCTCTTTTCTACTTTAGGAATTATTGAAGCACTTCATAGGTATTATCAGAATGCTGCCACGGATGTGAGGCAGGTGTGGCTTTCTTCAGTGGTGGATCACTTTCATTCATCTTTAGGCGACAAAGGTTGGGGTTGTGGTTACAGAAATTTCCAAATGCTACTTTCATCATTATTACAAAATGATGCTTATAATGATTGCTTAAAAGGTATGTGAAATCTAGTACTCTGAATGCCTCATCTGATAAAATATGTATGATATTGAATGATATAGCACACATAATTAATCGCTTTAACAGTTAGTGGATATTTATATCGGAAACCTGAATTCTGATTAGAGGAAGAGAAAATGATAGATATCAGAAATAACTGTCTTAAAAACTGTAAAGTTTCCCTAGTACATGATACACTGCTAAATTATATTATTCAGTACTTTATTAACAGTCATGTAACATGTTTGCTTTTATAATTTTAGGTATGTCGATTCCTTGCATTCCAAAAATTCAATCCATGATTGAAGATGCATGGAAGGAAGGTTTTGATCCTCAGGGGGCCTCTCAACTTAATAACAGGTTACAGGGAACAAAGGCCTGGATTGGAGCATGTGAAATATATATACTCCTGACCTCCCTAAGGGTAAAGTATGTACCTTAAAACCTAATTAAATGTTATTACCATATCTGGGAGTTTTGTTTTTTAAAATTTTATTTTTTATCAAAGAGATAGTTTTAAAATAAAATTAAGTAGCACTGAATTAAGTAGCAATGAAAACCAGCAACCTATTCCCAATCGTATGCTCTTTTCTACCCTCAAGTCCTGTCTCTGAGGGGCAACTGTCACTTCCATTGTTTTTAAATGGTGTGCTTTCATAGCTGTTTCTTGGTCTATAAGTTTTAGATATTGTCTGTTTTAATATCTTCTACCTGTTTACCTTCAATCCTTCTAATATGATTAAATCTGTTTTTATTAAAATCAGAGTTTACATCATTTTATAAAGTCAGACTTTATTACACGATTGTGTAAATATTGTTCATTGCTGATTTTGTTTGCTAAAATCAATAAAATTTTTTCTGGAGTTAATAATTGTGTTTCTTTTTCTCTTTTACTATAATACTTGACTGCATCATGGCCTCAAGTTTTTGCACTCTATTACACCTATCATGTAATCTGAGGCTCTCCTTACTCTCAAACACATCCTTCTTGGAGCATTCTGGCTTCTTTGCCTCCATCTGGACTTTTTGCCTTCTAGATCTACAGCTATTATCATGTAGCATTTCTTCACTGTTTTTTTGTGTTAGGACCTGGATTTTTATTTGATTTCATGTCTCTCTCTCTTTTTAGATTACTACTCCCTTTTGCTCAAGCACTTCTTTCATTAGCTTTCTGAGAAAGGGTGCCTAGTGTTATTACTTAAATGATAGTTTGAATGGCTATATTATTCTTAATTCTAAAATCATTTTCACATCAAATTAAGTTTCCAGCCTACTGACATCTAGCGATGAATATTACTATTGAGATGGTAAGATGTGATCTGATTCTCATTTTTAAAATGTGTAACCTATTTATTTTCTATGGAGGTTTTTCCAATCTCCTCTTAGTCCATCATAATTTCACAATATTATGAATTTCACCGTGGGATGTAGGCTTTGATTCATTGTGTTCGGCAATTGTTTTTCTCTTTGAATCTGGAATTGTGAATTGTGTAAGATCTTAGTTAGTTCTATCTAGGATAGTTAAAGAGCTTGAACTTTGAGTGAAACTGCCTAACTTGATTCTAGCTTTCCTACTTACCAGCTGAATGAATGAACTTGTCTGTACGTATTTCTACCATGGAAAAAAGAAGGTATTAATAGTAGACAATTAAATGGGATAATAAAGTGCTTAGAACTGTGACTGGCACACAGCATGACTTTGGAGGTTAACTGTTATTGTTTGATAATTATAATTATAATTTTCTTTGTGGAACTATTGATAGTTGGCCACTGAACTTCTCTTTTTTTTTTTTTTTTTTTTTTTTTTGAGAGAGAGTTTTTGCTGTGTTGTCCAGGCTGGAGTACAATGGCACAATCTTGGCTCACAGCAACCTCCAACTTGCTGGATTCAAGCGATTCTCCTGCCTCAGCCTGCTGAGTAGCTGAGATTACAGGCGCCTGCCACCAAGCCCAGATAATTTTTGTATTTTTAGTGGAGATGAGGTTTCACCATGTTGACCAGACTGGTATTGAAATCTTGACCTCAGGTGATCCACCCACCTCGGCCTCCCAAAATGCTGGGATTACAGGCCTGAGCCGCCACCACCCCCAGCCTGAACTTCTTTACCTTCTAAGTTTATCATGTCCTTTTTTAAAAATCTTTGCTTTTTGTTTTATTTTCTAGATTTACTCAACTTTATCTCCCAACTACTCTATTGAAATTTTTATTTTAACTATGATTTAATTTTAAGGAATAATTTCATGGCATCATTTTCTTTATGGTTACAAAATTTTTTCCAATGTTTTCTTTCTGTTGCCTGCATTTTTCTGTTTGTTCCATATTAATTTATTTTCATGTCTGTTTATTTTAGTCTTTTCTATTTTGAAGGCTTTCTTTTAACTTTTGGAAATCCTTAATTGTCCATTCAGAGAGTGAAGAATGAAACATTAAAAAGCTGATTAGAAGTGCTGTAGGATTGCACAGAGCTTGCAGATTAGCAGACCTAATTAAAAGTCTTAGGTGGAAGGTGGAAGGTTACTACTTGTTTGGCGAACTCTCACATATCATTACATAGAGAAATCTTTTCTCAGAAGTTATCTAGAGAAGAGTTTTTTTACTGTCCCGCCTAGAGTTCCTGCAATAGTGGAGGGGAGAATTGAGGTGTGATTTGCCTTTGAAGCAAACTTTGAATTAATCTCATATTTTTAGCTGTTCTCAAACCTCGTGCTTCTAAGCTTTCAGCCTCTCTTTTGAAACATATGGTCTCCATTTTCTTTTATTTGCTTTTACATGTTCTCTGTGCTCCTTTCCATTTTCTGAAAATGTGAGCTCTCTTCCTGTCTGTCCCCATTCTCTTTGTCCTTGGGTGTTTAAATCATTATTTCCTTCAGTATTATGTCATTGGGCTAAGAGGAAACAGACATAGATGCCTGTGATCATGTTTAATGGAACATCTGCCTTTATAAAGCTTTATGGCTCTGTATTTCCTTTTATGTTTGTTTCTAAGTTATTTAAACAGTATATCACATTGTTTTTACCACATTAATTGATTAGATTCAGAGGTAAAACTATTTCATTTATAAAGAAAAACTAATACTGCGTGTGTGCATAATAACTTCCTTGAATTATTTAAATTTAAAGAACTATTTTAATGCCCTCTAAATTTATTTCTGCTTTTCTTTTTCTTTTTGCCAATCTATTCACACTTTCAGATTGTTATACTCTGTCATGTTCTGAGTTTTAAAGTAATTTTTTCTTCTTTTTTTTTGAGACAGAATCTGTCTCCAGTCTGTCACCCAGACTAGAGTGCAATGGTGTGATCTTGGCTTGCAACCCCTGCCTCCCAGGCTTAAGTGATTCTCATGTCTCAGCCTCCTGAGTAGCTGGGATTACAGGCACATGCCACCACACATGGCTAATTTTTTATTTATATATATATATATATATATTTTTTTTTTTTGAGACGGAGTTTCGCTGTTGTTACCCAGGCTGGAGTGCAATGGCGCGATCTCAGCTCACCGCAGCCTCCGCCTCCTGGGTTCAGGCAATTCTCCTGCCTCAGCCTCCTGAGTAGATGGGATTACAGGCACGCGCCACCATGCCCAGCTGATTTTTTGTATTTTTTAGTAGAGATGGGGTTTCACCATGTTGACCAGGATGGTCTCGATCTCTTGACCTCGTGATCCACCTGCCTCGGCCTCCCAAAGTGCTGGGATTACAGGCTTGAGCCACCGCGCCTGGCCATTTTTTTGTATTTTTAGTAGAGATGGGATTTCGCCGTGTTGTCCAGGCTGGTCTCATGCTCCTAGGCTCAACCAGTCCGCCTGCCTTAGCCTCTCAAAGTGCTAGGATCACAGGTGGGAGCCATAATTCTTGTTCAGCTTCTTTGCTGGTACCTTAAATAATTTAATAAGCTTTTTAATTAATATATCCTGAATGTGTTTAGTAGTTATTTACATGTCTTTCTGTTGCTCTCTATATGAATTATACTCTGTAAGGTACTGTTTAATTAGTATTCTAAATATAAATATGCAAACTGCTAACCCAAAACATTTTTTTTACTTCTAAACAGTTTATCCAGAAATGTATTTGAACACTTAAAACCCAGTAACCCACTGTAAGTTACTAGCGTTAAGTCGCTGAGGCTGAGGTTAGCAATTTGGATGTTTTAGAGATTTTGTTGCCAAGAGAAACAAGGACAGAGTATCTGTGCTGTAGTGTAAAGTGATACTAAAGCTATGAAATGCTTTTAGTTGTACCTGACCTTTTAAAAACAGTAGTTGAGTAGTATAAACAGTGTTTCTGGTTAAAAAATTTAACCAGAAAAAATTTAAGGGTGACTCCTTCTTGAAGGAAAAATACCATGGTGGTCTGGTGTCAAACAGGAGATAGATGTGTAGATGTGGGTACACACACATTTTTCTATGATCTTTACAGGTATTTTCTGTTACAGAGATTTGAGACACTGACTGGAAAGTATTTAAGATTTATTTGATATATATAAATGGCTATTGAGGAATTAAAATCAGAAATCAGCTTCTAACTGATCATCAGGTTTAGAAACTAGAATAAAAGCTGTGTCCCAGACTATAGGTAGATGACTTCTAAAATATCAGGTATGGTCACTATTTGCTATTCATAGAGATTTTATATATCAGAAAATGTTTGTAACCTTAAGGTTAGACAGCAGACTTATTATGAAGCTATTTAAATAGTTAACTAGTTAGAGGAATAGTGAAATGGTTAAATAGGGGAAGATTTGTTAAATAGTTATCCCCCACAAAAAATGATAATTTTTTTAGATAAGCAATAAAAATTTATATTTATTTTTCTTTCTCCCTTTACAGGGAAGTAATGGCTAGAAAAAGTTGGTTCTAAACTAAGAATTTGTTATATTTGATAACTCTATTGATGAAAATATTTTTAAATGGCCTTTAATTATGTATTCTGTCAATTTTTAATAGGTGTCATATTGTTGATTTTCACAAGTCAACTGGTCCTTTGGGTACACACCCTTGCTTATTTGAATGGATATTAAACTATTATTCTTCAGAGGGAGAAGGGAGTCCAAAGGTAGTGTGTACATCTAAACCTCCCATCTATCTTCAGCATCAAGGTTGGTATTAATATAACTCATACTTGACAATGTTGTTTATAAGATAACAAATTGTTGGCCAGGCGTGGTGGCTCACACCTGTCATCCCAGCACTTTGGGGAGCCAAAGCAGGTGGATCACGAGGTCAAGAGATCAAGACCATTCTGACCTACATGGTGAAACCCCATCTGTACTAAAAATACAAAAATTAGCTGGGCATGGTGGCGCATGCCTGTAGTCCCAGCTACTCAGGAGGCAAGGCAGGAGAATCGCTTGCACCCTGGAGGCAGAAGTTGCCATGAGCCAAGATTGCGCCACTGCACTCCAGCCTGGAAGAGAGCTAGACTCGATCTCAAAAACAAAGAAACAAACAAAACCAAATTGTTGATTTTGGACAGGTTAAGGGTTTTTTTTGTTTGTTTTTTTGAGACAGAATCTCATTCTTGCTCAGGCTGGAGTGCAGTGGCACAATCTTGGCTCCGTGCAACCTCCGCCTTCCAGGTTCAAGCAATTCTCCTGGCTCCTGCGTAGCTGGGACTATAGGGGCATGCCATCACACCCGGCTAACTTTTGTATTTTTAGTCGAAACAGGATTTTACTGTGTTGGCCAGGCTGGTCTGATAATACCAAGGAGTAGTATGACATTAATCTGATTTTCAGAGCTACTTTGACAGTGCAATACTTTCTTAGGTAATTAAGATTGATATTTCTACAGTACTTTCTTGGGTAATTATGATTGATATTCCTGACATCTTCAGGACCTTTTGCATTTGTTATTTTCTGTGTTTGGTTCACTTGTCCTTCATTGTTCATTTCTTGCCTTCTTGGGTCTTCACCTACATGTCACTTAAGTGAGGCCTTCCCTGACCTTACCTTATTTAAAAGTGGACCTCAAGGCCAGGCATGGTGGCTCATGCCTGTAATCCTAGCACTTTCAGAGGCTGAAGCAGGATTACTTGAGCCCAGGAGCTTGAGACCAGCCTGAGTGACATAGTGGGACTCTGCCTCTACAAAAACTTAAGAAAATTAGCCAGGTATGGTGGCATACGCCTGTAGTCCCAGATACACAGGAGGCTGAGGTGGGAAGGTCCCTTGAGCCCTGAAGTTGGGGGCTATAGCGAGCCATGATTCTGCCACTGCACTCCAGCCTAGGCAGCGGAGTGAGGCTGTCTCAAAAAAAGTACAGCTCATCCCAACATCCCACTACTGGCATTATCTTCACTTATTTACCTTGTTTATAGAGTATCTCTTCTATTAGGATGTAAGTTTCAAGAAGGCAGGCACATTTTTCTGTTTTGTTTGCTGTTATATTTCTTCCTACCTGGAATAGTACGTGGCACATAGATTCTTGGTAAATTATGAGTGGATGGTTTGGATTGACAGGAATAAACAGAATAATGTTAGGAATTTCATTGTTTAGGAATACAAATTATAAGACATTAAGTTCCCCCCACTGATATTCTAGTATTTATAGGTTTATTTTTGTTTACCTTTTGGAATCATGAGAGTTTTGTTCTAGAACAGTTTTTGTTCTTTTGTTTGAGATAATTTGAATAAGAAGGGTCAAGGGATTGGGAAAGGAAAAGTAAAATCTATGGCAGAATAAAAGCAGAGTTTTTTGTAATGAAGCCTTTAGAAAACTAAAGTTAAATGAAGAAAACTGAAGTAGAACTAAACTCTTATGTCTTAGGAGAACTCAGATACATATGTGTCAGAGTCTGACTGTATTATATTCTAAACATACATATGCTCACAGTATATATACAGACTATTTGTATAGCTGTAAATATATATGACATATATATGTATAACTTTTTTTTCAGAATGAATTTTTTTTTAATTAATTGTACTTTAAGTTCTGGGGTACATGTGCAGAATATATAACTTTTTTAAAAAAATCTTTTGGCAGGTCACAGTCGAACTGTTATTGGAATTGAAGAGAAAAAAAACCGAACATTATGTTTACTAATATTTGATCCTGGATGTCCTTCTCGAGAAATGCAGAAATTATTAAAGCAAGACATAGAGGCTAGCAGTCTCAAGCAACTTCGGAAATCTATGGGAAATTTAAAACATAAGCAATATCAGATAGTAGCAGTAGAGGGCGCTCTTTCTCCAGAGGAGAAAGTTGTAAGTATCTAAATATATGTGAGGTCTGAATGACATGAACGTAAAAGTTTAAAACTTTTAGTTTAAAATCAGTGTTATCACTTTTTTCTTTTTTATTTATTTATTTTTTATTTTTTTTATTTTTTGGAGACAGGGTCTCACTCTGTTGACTAAGCCTGGGTGCAGTGGCATGCAATCTTGACTCACTACAGCCTTGACCTCCCAGGCTCAAGTGATCCTCCTGCCTCAGCCTCCTGAGTAGCTGGGACTACAGACGCATAACACCACACCTGGCTAATTTTTGTATTTTTTGTAAAGACAGGGTTTTGCTATGGTGCCCAGGCTGGTCTCGAACTCCTAGGCTCAAGCAATTTGCCCACCTTGGCCTCCCAGAGTGTTGGGATTACAGACATGAACCACTGTGCCTAGCCCACTTTGTATTCCTTAGCACCTTATTCTGTTTCATTAAGTTGGAAAAGCCATTTGGTCTCATAATTTTTAATTTCTGGAATGAACATATTTATATTTGAAATGATACTTTAATGACTTTCTATACTTAGAGTTTCATAAAAATGTTTATAATATTTAATTTTTGATGTCAGGTAAGCAAGAATAATGATAACACATATAGTAAGAAAACCTAACTTAATCCAAGGAGATCTGACTCATACTGGTCTTATAATTATGATTTATTAAAATATGATTCTTGGGATTCCTAAGGCTATATTTTATGCACTTGGGCTTATTGGATATTCAGAGTTGTAAAATTTAACTTCATTAGAATTTCCTCTTGTCTTTATTCCTTGCAGTTAAGTGATGAGCACAATATTATAGAAAAATTCCTAGGAATTGAAAAACTTCCACTTGGTATGAACTGAAGCAGTATGATAGCACATCAAGTCTAGAAAATGCATAAGCCCTAAATTAAGAAAAAAAAAAGCTCTAAAAATACTTCACATTGATTTATTTCCCTTTAAAGAGAAAACAGACTGAAGAGAGACAAACAGTTAGGGTGAATAATAGGATCATGGCGGAAAGGACTATAAGTTTTTGAAATAATAGAGCTAATCTTTTCAGCCTCATAATATGGGATATAAAGGCAAGGATTTTTTTAAAGAGGTTCTTTAATTTACTTATGATACAATGATTGTAATGATTTAAGTATAAAAATTGCATTCATTTTTTAACCCTATCATTAATTTCTCCGGATAAAGTTAGAGGTTTAATTACTTTAAAATACCAAGATGGTTGCTCACCAATGTACACATTGAGAACATTTTGTACATTAATTTTTTAACCCTATCATTAATTTTTCCAGATAAAATTAGAGGTTTGTTTCAATTATTTTAAAATACCAAGACACTTGCTCACCAATGTACACATTTGAGAGCATAGGTGTGGTTAAATATTACTATGGTGTATTGCTGAACATTTTAGTTAGCTGTTATCTTTCTGGTTTTGGAAATGGAGTTATTTGTGGGGGTAGAATACTAAAAACGTACTTTCTGCACTGTGCATTTGATGTTCTAGTTTTCTGAGTCATGGACAGTAGCTGTGATTTTACTGTAAGAATCATAAGTTGGCCAACAGTGTATAAATAACACTGCCAGGTAGAAAAAGAATAATAATAAATATAATAAGATTTTAATTATAGTAGATTGAAATAACACTTGTTATTCTGTGCTATGCACTATCCTAAGCACATTACATATGTTAACTAATTCAGTCCACACAACAGCCCTGTACAGTAGACCCCATTATTAATCCCATCTTACAAAAGAAGATGCTGAGGAAGAGAGAAGTTGTATTCCTAAGGGAACACAGAGTCAGGATTCTAATTCAGGCAGTTTGCATCTGGAGCCCTGCCCTACATTGCCTCTTCTGTAAGGACAAAAAACATAGTCATGTTTGCTGAGTTTTGGTTTTGTTTTTTTTTTGAAATGGAGTCTTGCCCTGTTGCCAGGCTGGAGTGCAGTGGCCCGATCTCGGCTCGCTGCAACCTCTGCCTCCCCGGTTCAAGCAATTCTCCTGCCTCAACCTCCCGAGTAGCTGGGACTGCAGGCGTGCGCCACCAGCCCAGTTAATTTTTGTGTTTTTAGTAGAGACTGAATTTCATCATGTTGGCTAGGATGATCTCTCCTGACATCATGATCCGCCCGCCTCGGCCTCCCAAAGTGCTGGGACTATAGGTGTGAGCCACTGCGTCTGGCTGTTTGCTGAGCTTTTGTATGAACAATTTCACTTTTCTTTTTTAAAAGATACCACATTTCAAGAAATGAAAAAAGTTTAATTCTACTAGTTTAATATAACATTTTTTTTAAAAGTATCTGTTCCTTATAGTTATTCTGTCCTTTTTTTTTTTTTGAAATGGAGTCTCTGTCACCCCAGGCTGGAGTGCAGTGGTGCCATCTTGGCTCACTGCAACCTCCACCTCCTGAGTTTAAGCCATTCTCCTGCCTTAGCCTCTTGAGTAACTGGAACTACAGGCCCACGCCACCACACCTAGCTGATTTTTTTGTATTTTCAGTAGAGACAGGGTTTTGCCATGTTGGCCAGGGTGGTCTTGAACTCCTGACCTCAGGTGATCTGCCCGACTTGGCCTCCCAAAGTGCTTGGATTACAGTGTGAGCCCCTGTGCCCAGCCTTATTCTGTCCTTTTTAACAGTAATTTATACTGTAGGAATTCAGCAAATATTAATGTACCAATTCTTTTGTAGATCATCAGGTGGAAGTCTGCAGCTTTAAAGGACAAAATAGTGATTTTACTTTTATTTCATATTAGTTTTTATAACTCATTTTTTAAAAGTCTATTTCCAGCCAGGCACAGTGGCTCCTGCCTGTAATCCCAGCACTTTGGGAGGCCGAGGTGGGCGGATCATGAGGTCAAGAGATCGAGACCATTGTGGCCAACCTGGTGAAACCCCGTCTCTACTAAAAATACAAAAATTAGCTGGGCTTGGTGGTGTGCGCCTGTAGTCCCAGCTACTCAAGAGGCTGAGGCAGGAGAATTGCTTGAACCCGGGAGGCAGAGGTTGCAGTGAGCCGAGATTGTGCCACTGCACTCCAGCCTGGCGTCTGGTGGCAGAGTGAGACTGTGTCTCAAAAAAAAAAAATTGATGGTTTATGGTATCCCAAAATATACATATTTATAACTGCAATTTATGTTTTATTCTTCATTAGTTCTGATCTTTTAATAATCATGCAACTATTATTCAAAGAGAGTGATTGGTTTTCAAAACTTTTTTTTTTATCTTGGCCACTGTCTTATAATAAACATTTCTGCCATAGATATATTTTGAGTATCTACTAATTCCAGACCCTCTTCTAGATGTTGGAGCACTTATTTAGGTGAAGGGATTTATCTTAGACAATATCACCAAATGCGGTTCAGTTAAATAATAAGTACAAATTTATGTAATAGCCCTGTTTGTTATTTTTTTTTCACATTTTGATACGGAGTTTTAAAGTTACCCTACTATATTCTTAATTTTCCATTGTGTAAACCTTGTACTCTCAACTTAATTTAACTAGGTTTTTTTTTTCTTGAGACAGAGTTTAACTCTTGTTGCCCTGGCTGGAGTACAATGGTGCAGCCTTGGCTCACTGCAACCTCTGCCTCCCACGCAAGCGATTCTCCTGCCTCAGCCTTCCGAGTAGCTGGGATTAGAGGCATATGCCACCACACCTGGTTAATTTTGTATTTTTAGTAGAGACAGCGTTTCTCCATGTTAGGCAGGCTGGTCTCAAACTCCCGATCTCAGATAATCCACCCACCTTGGCCTCCCAAAGTGCTGGGATTACAGGCCTGAGCCATCGCGCCCGGCCTGTTTACCTTAGTTTAAATTTAGCGTGGTTTAATATGTTTTGATGTGGTACTCAGGTTGTGAAAATAGCACAAACATTGAGAAGTTTTTTGAAGTGACATTTTTAAGGCAATAAAGAGAGATATACATAATTTTCATAAAGTTACCCTGCACACAGCCCTGTCTTCCTCTAGCCTCCTCTCTGTTTTTATCTCTCTCTCTGCCTTTGAGCCAGCAGTTTGCTTTTGACTCATTATTCCATTAAAAAGTGATATTTCCTATTTCATTCTGTGTTATCTTTATTTGGAATTTTCTTTGTTTATGGGTTGGCTGAAAAAATGTTTATGCCTGATTTCATAAGTTTGAGATTGCAATTTTTCTTGAGAAATTTTCATTATTTTGAAAAAAATCTAAATTTTATTTTTTATATTAGAATGATAACACATATTCTAATTATAGCTTAAGATTTTTTTTAAATTTCTTTTCAAGGCCAGGAGACAAGCTTCTCAAGTCTTTACAGCCGAGAAGATTCCTTGAAGAATTAAGCATTTCAGTGATTGAGAACAATACTTTGTTTTCTAAATGTTGATATTGAACTCCTTAACACAATTATGAATCTGTGAATTCTCTAAGTACTTAATATATAATTTAATCTCTAAAATGCCTGTGTTAATTAAATTATGCCTATCATACTTCATTGTTTGGTAATTATTTCAATAAAATGTCTTGTTTTTGCATTGTGGATTTTGGTTTTCTTATCTATGTTTCAGAAATCAGTTTTATAGCTGTAAGCTGATATGCATTGGGTCTTTACTTTTGTTAGGTACTCTTCGTATTTTACATATATTACTTTGTTTAATCTTCAGAATAGTTCTGTGAAACAAGTACTACTATTAGCCCCAGAGGAAGCAAGCTAAAGCCCTGAGAGGTTAGTAATTTGCCCAAGAAAATAATCTTCATCCAGGGTATGAACCTAGGGTATCTCACTTCCAACCAAGCTCCTACCTTTAAACTATTTGCCTGTCTTTTGTTAGAGAACATATATGATAAAATTTCTTCCTCACTTCCTAGAAATAATATTTAACAGACATAGTTCTATAAACAAGGATTTGCTTTTATTAAGTGTTTACACTCTATAGCTGTGATTTAGTGTCTTATGTTGAATGTGTTCTGTAGAAAAGAAACTTTACACTTCTTGTTGGATGTGCCATGTATGGTTGCAACCAAGAATCCTGGCCAATGTGATTCATCAAAAAATTACCAGAACCTCACAGTCCATGGGTAGAACTTAGCTGGAACCAAGCCAACTGTGGAAATTAGAATATGGTTTAATTTATAGAAGGAACAATCTGGTTAGGAGCCCATAATTTTCCAGAGAGGTTACATCTGATTGGCATGAGACTAATGGGACAGAGGCGGTTCCTCAAAACGAAATCAGGGTAGGTAAGGAAGTGGATATGAAGCAACAAAGAAGAACATGTCGTCTGCGTCATGAAAAAATGAGTAACAACCAACATGAATGAAGTTTTATGTATTTTAGGTATGCCAACAAAGACAAAGAGTTGCACTTCAAGAATGAAATAGCATTGCCAATAGAATTCTGGAAACCATCTTTCCTAATGTTCTGCCCTTCAGACTGATGACCAGTTTTTTTTTGTTGCTGTTTTGTTTTTGAGACACTGTCTTGCTCTGTCACCCAGGCTGGAGTGCAGTGGCACGATCATAACTCACTTGACCTCCTAGTTTTAAGTGATCCTGACACCTCAGCCCCCCAGAGAGGATGGGACTACAGGCACAGTTTTCTACTTTATATCCTCTTGCAGTTATCCTGTTTCCTTCCCTCCTTCCTTTTTTCCTCCTTCCTTCCTTCCTTCTGTCCTTCCTTCCTTCCTTCCTTCTTCCTTTTCTCCCTCCTTCTTTTCTTTATTTCTTTCTTCTTTCTCTTTCTTTCCTTCTCTCTCTTTTCTTTCTTTCTTTTTTTCGAGATGGAGTCTCATTCTGTTGCCCAGGCTGGCGTGCAATGGTGCGATCTCTGCTCACTGCAGCTTTCAGCCTTCCAAGAAACTGGGATTACAAGCATGCGCCATGACACCCGGGTAATGTTTGTATTTTCAGTAGAGATGGGGTTTCTCCATGTTGGCCAGACTAGTCTATAACTCCTGACCTCAGGTGATCTACCCATCTCAGCTCCCCAAAGTGCTGGGATTACAGGTGTGAGCCACCCTGCCCGGCCTGTTATCCTATTTCCATGCCACTATTTTCTGTTACTTAGATAATGTGATAACCTCCTAACTGGTCTCCTTGTCTCAAGTTTGGATTCTCTCTCATCCATCTACACTGAAGCCAAGATGATCTCAAACACAAATGTTTGTATGACTTTCTAGTGTAGTTCTTTTTACTGTTTGTGGGTAAGAGTCAGACTTTCTACACACTCTAGCCCTTCTTTACCTCTGCAGGCTCATTTCTCACCACTTCTTGCAGTTGAAATTTCATTCCTTTGAGCCAAAAGTGTTGCCAGGATGCAGCCAGTGCCGCCAAGAATCTTCTCCCATAGCACTCCACCTGGTGGTGGCTCTTAGAAGTGCTTCCTGTCTTGCTGAAGTCTGCATTCAGTGCACCTTGTGTTTGATAACAACGTTACTCCAAGTGCAGATCGGTGATCTGCAAACTGAAGGTCTGTGACAAGGTAAGTAAAGACGCTGAGAACTGATGTGTCATTTTATTTTTATTTTTTTTTCTTTTTTGAGACGGAGTTTCGCTCTTGTTACCCAGGCTGGAGTGCAATGGCGCGATCTCGGCTCACCGCAACCTCCACCTCCTGGGTTCAGGCAATTCTCCTGCCTCAGCCTCCTGAGTAGCTGGGACTACAGGCACGCGCCACCATGCCCAGCTACTTTTTTGTATTTTTAGTAGAGACGGGGTTTCACCATGTTGACCAGGATGGTCTCGATCTCTTGACCTCGTGATCCACCCGCCTCGGCCTCCCAAAGTGCTGGGATTACAGGCTTGAGCCACCGCGCCCGGCCCATTTTATTTTTTAAAAACAGTAATGACTTGGAATTATTTTTTTAACTTACCAACATTACTATAGAATTTGAGAAGCACTCTTCTGTGTTACCTGTAATATTTGTATCACAATACTTGCTAAATTGCAACCTATTTTACTTTTCTATTTACCTTTCTATAGCTCCATCTTCAGTGAAAGCTCTATGATTTCAAGAGCAGTGCCTAGTTTTTAGTCATAGCCACAGGTATATCTGGTACATACGGGACTTAAAAATGCTTTTTTAGTGTGGGAAAATAATGTTTCAGAGAAGTAGTGGTAGGAAATATGTCAAGTCTGTGGCTATCTCCAACAACCATATCTGTACAAAACAAATCATTTTTCCCCAATCAGTTCAAATCAATTTCTGTAGGATGAAGGAGGAGTCTGAGAATGCTTTTTGAGAAATAACAAAGGGGTTAAAAATTTGAGTGTTCCTACAGTTTTTGAGGTGATAAATTTATGACACTATCTCCAGCAGGAAAAATGAATATATATACTATACAGTGTTTGCACACAATATCACAGGCCTCACCATAGGTCATTACAAAGGTTTAAGAACACATGCTCTAGATCAGTTCTTACAAAGGTTAAGAATACATACTATAATGACTATCAGTATTTTTTGTCTTTGTATCACTTGACACTCTTGAGAGTATTGATGTTTCCAAGAATTTCCTGTGGGTTATATCTTCCAATGTTTGTCATATTAGAAATTAAACCTGAGACTATTTATTCATATATTTTGAGAGGGAGTCTTGCTCTGTCACCAGGCTGGAGTGTAGTGGCGCAATCTCGGCTCACAGCAACCTCTGACTCCTGGGTTCAAGCGATTCCCCTCAGCTTCCTGAGTAGCTGGGACTACAGGCACATGCCACCATGCCTGGCTAGTTTTTTGTATTTTAGTAGAGACGGGGTTTCACCGTCTTGGCCAGGATGGTCTCAATCTGACCTCATGATCCATCTGCCTCAGCCTCCCAAAGTACTGGGATTACGGGTGTGAGCCACTGTGCCTGGCCTTAATTTTTTTACCTCACCTGGACCATGTGAAACCTGAGACCTTTTAAAAAAAAGAGTGTACAAGCACACATCCCATTATCCATAACCCTCAGAACAATGATGTGATCACATGTTATTTAGCCTCTGGAAAATCCCATGAGCATCTTTCATTAAACATACTAATATAGCTACCTATGAAATTTCAAGCCCGATATTTTAAAGATTGACATTTTGGAGATGAAAAATTTCTTACATGGGCATGTATACGCATACACATATACATACACACACACACAAATGTGTAAAATTAGTCCCACATAAGGGGTGTGTGTGTATCAGTGTCACGAAAAACCAGGCTAATTTTATGTTTATTAGTCATAATCATCTTCCTCATCTTCATCTTCCTCAGTTTCTTCATTCTCCTCAGCTGCGAGTAGAACTGCTTCTTGTGCGGCCCTGAAAGCCTGCTCCTCCTCCACACCAGGGTCATCCATTTCTGTAATATCTGGTCCACTGGGATATTCTTGATAAACTGGTGTTGGAACTGGGGGCATATAATTGTCTGGACTATATTTATGACCCCAGCCTATGTAGAAATTTTCAAACTTTCTATAAGTTAAAAAAAAAAAAAGATCATTATATAATTTCTCAGAAAATGGCTTTGTAAATGGTCAGATACTTACTTGCCATTGGAGAAGGCATATGCTCCAGGCCAAAGGTTGGATCGAAGGACTGCAATAGCATATTGTGGAATGAGATTTGACGATAGCCGTGTTGTCCAAGCGGGTATATTCTGAATCTCTGGATCCCAAAGAGAAATGCAACAGCTTAATTCCTAACTAGACAAGAATCTACTGTGTCAGCTATTTTTATAAATCCACACATACATACACACACACAGATACACAGGTATTGGATATAGAAAGAAAAAACATCTTAACAAAATCAGGAGAGTACTTCATGAATGTTTTGGAACAATGAAGTTTGAACATATAGTTCCATTTTTGCAACCAACACAAGAAGTTTTATTAAGGGAGAGGAGACTTATGTGGCAGCGCGAGTAATATTTGATGGCCTGATGAAAAGTACATCATTATTATGAATGAGATCAAGGGTTGCAAGCACAAATATTCCAAACTGAAGGGAAAGAAACAAGAGTATAGGAATGAGAGTAGAGTTTTTAAAAACCAGGACCAAGAATCTTCAACTGTGCCATTGTTTATGGTTTGCAGAATGCAAGACAAGAATAATATAGGAGAAAGAGCTACAGCCAACTTATGTTTGTTCTCTGCACCATTCCTTCAACCTCCGTCAGAGAACATTGATGTGGCCAGCTACAGTCTTTGCTCTCTATCACCCCAGAAAACGAATAGGAAGAGGATGCGACCTTGGCTCCTGTCCACTTTTTACAGCTTTCCAACTCTCATTTTTACTATATAATGCACATAGTATGTTATACTGTTTGTGTGTCTGTGTGGGATAATAGTTATGTAAAATAACCTAAGTCTTCAGAGATTGGTGTCAAAAGAGGAGGCCCCACTTCCTGTTCTATGTAGTCAGGCTCTTCCTTTTCTTCATCTTCTTCCTCTTCTTCCTCCTCATTTTTTTGTATGGAGTTGAACCAGTTACAGCGACCCTGGGAATCAGTGATATAAGATTTAGTAGGCTAAAGAGGATCTTAAAATTTCATAATATTCATT